AAAAGATTTATCATATGAACCAAAGAGGATTTAAAAAAAAATCCTCCTTGATGTGAACGCGCGGAGTAGCGAACACGATCTCGATAAGTGCTGCAGTTCCCGCTTTGAAAGCACTCTGCACTATAGTATATCACTCAGATAAACATAGCAGCACCCATTTTAGTTTCGTATCGCACCGAAAGATGCAATGCATGAGCAACACTTTCAGACTGGTAAGATAGATAGATAGATAGATAGATAGATAGATAGATAGATAGATAGATAGATAGATAGATAGATAGATAGATAGATAGATAGATAGATAGATAGATAGATAGATAGATAGATAGATAGATAGATAGATAGATAGATAGATAGATAGATAGATAGATAGATAGATAGATAGATAGATAGATAGATAGATAGATAGATAGATAGATAGATAGATAGATAGATAGATAGATAGATAGATAGATAGATAGATAGATAGATAGATAGATAGATAGATAGATAGATAGATAGATAGATAGATAGATAGCCTCTGCTGTATCGTACAGAAAAACGCAAAAAAGGCACGTGAAACGCCTCGCTTGCGTTCCTTCAACAACAGCCTTGGCGTAACCGCAAGAAAAACAACGGTTTAACGAATTTCAATTCTTTCTTTTTTTCTTTCTTTCTTTCCTTCTTTTCTTTCTTTTTCTTTCTTTCTTTTTCTTTCTTTCATTTTTTCTTCCATTTTACAGAAAGAGGAGCAAGAGCTAAATGCCATGTGGCCGGATGGCGGCTCTTATTCCTTTGAGCATTCGGCATACATACAAATGATCTTGATGCATGTAAAAGAAATAAGTTTTAGCATGTACTTATCTAAATGCAAATTGAGAAAATACAGTTTCACGTGATACAAAATACCTCTAGGCAAGAAAAAAGTTTACAAACGCCCTATGAAACATACAATAAAACACTTTATATAAAATAAAAAATCATGCATACACTTCATGAAACAAAACATTTCATGCAAAGCACTTGATGAAAAAAAGCACATCATTCAAACAGTTCAAGAATATGTATCCCAATGCATTAAATAATGAAGAATCAAACTGAAATAATGAAAACAGTGAAAAAGACATGTACAAATGAAGTATAAATTTGTTATAGAAAAGTTATCGTAGAATGTGAGAGAAAGTATTTTACATATTGTTTGAAACGGCGTGCGTAAAAGTCTATGTTGTTCCTCACCATGTTTAATAGCCGGGGTATTTGATAATGTAGGTCCTGGCATCCGTAATTTGTTCCTGTGCACATTCGTGATTTGTGGTAGAAAACGTGCATATCAAGCGAGATGTGCTTGCTGACCTACTTTTGATTGATTATCTTACTCAGCAGATGACGGGAAGCGGTTGAAAATTGAGTCAGTAAATATGAGACACGTATACAATACAGCAAGCCCACTTTTACGCTAGCACAATAATTAACACACTAGAAAGAACAGACAGGATATTGGTTGGATAATTATTTCTCGGTCAAAACTATATATACCGGCATTGAGAGGTCACGACGGTGAAAATTATTTTGCCGTTGTTTATCTTATCTTAGATACAGCTGTGTATGACGCACTCATTTTCGTCAATAAGCGAAGCGCCAAGGTCATTGTCAGGCACGTGACGCCTTATCGCCGTAATAAATGTCGAGTGAGCGTGAATCGGCATAAAAGACAAATGCGCAAGGTTATGTCTCTGCAATACAATTATGCATTCGAAAGACAATGAAATGCCCGTGCACATATGAGCTTGAGCTGCTCAGGGATGTTGGGAGTATCCTGTCATCAAATTCACAGAGAGAACGTCCGTTGACATCTGACGCATACGTAAGCGTCTATGAGAGACGGGCTTGGCTGCGTTTAAATAGTACCAAGGACTGTGCGCGAATAGTCCGCGTAAATTTGATAGATGGTTGCTTATGGCTTACAGTGCAGCTATAGATGGAGAATAAATGTTGGCTCTCATCCTAAATTATTGTTCAGTTTAACAAACGTGGCGACCTGGAGAACCGATAGAGCAAAGGTAGTTTCTATGATATTGCATGCCTGCACAGATAGTTGCGTAATTTTATATTACTTTTGAAAACACACGCTACACCGCAGTTATGGTTAATCAACCTGGCATTTTGCCACAGTTACAAAACTCCGAGGTCTATATAATTTCAGTGCTGCACAGAGCAGCTCTGAAAATTTCAGGGCTGCTTGCGGCCCTTTAATTTGAGAGCTATAGGTTGTCTCACAGAAAGCCCTGGTCCAACCAGAATGTTTAACGTGAACAATAATTCACAAACTGCTACAGTTCTGTTGAGATATTCATGGGACGTTATTGTCATCATTGCTGTTTTTGTTGTTGTTGATCTTTTACAGCTTCGAGTCATCCCGTTCCTCCAGCATACGTCGTTGTTATGCCGATTTTTTTTCTTCTTTTTTGTTATGATTTTGTTATCGTTTCGTTTGAATGCCGGAACCTCCGAATGAGCGTTGACATTAACATAGTTGTTCTAAACAGCCTATAGGAACGTAACGCAGAAGAGACCACACAACACAGGCTCTACGTGCGTTGTAAACACGCCCGCCTAGCCACCATTTTCAAGTCGACATTAAACCTCACGCAATATCTACCTTAATTTTTTGCCACAAAATAAAGAAAAAAAAAGGGGGGGGAGGGGTAATGCGAGTTCTGGTATTTCTAAAATGACGTGCGTAGCACAGTACGTGAGGCATTTCTCTCTTGCTTTCATTTTTTTCGAAGAAGGTTCTTTTAACCGATGGGGCGCAGGCACTAAAACGGGCGAAAGACAGACGTCACGGCTTCTATTCAGTATGCCCGTAAAACACACAAAACACACACACACTATATATATATATATATATATATATATATATATATATATATATATATATTATATATATATATATATATATAGCTTTATAATGGGTGCACATGGTTTTTAGCGCAGGGTACAAGCGTACTGAAAGTCGACACACGGTAATCCGTAGATAACATTCCAAATGATTATTAGCATAAACTGAGAAAGAGCTCAAGACAGGCTTGAAATGAACCTGAGCCATTGTGCTTCGCACTTGGAATCTTCGCCTCCTAAGTGAATTAAAGGAATAACTGAACGCTTGCTCTCACGTTTCACTGAAACGTAGCGTCAAGCTTCTTGCAACTTTTAGACGTCAAAACATATTTTCGCCGACATCATCATCGGCCTGACTACGTCCACTGCAGGACAAAGGCCTCTCCCATGTTCCGCCAGTTAACCCGATCCTGTGCTTGCTGCTGCCAATTTACACGCGCAAACTTCTTAATCTCATCTGCCCACCGAACCTTCTGTCTCCCCCTAACTCGCTTGCCTTCTCTGGGAATCCAGTTAGTTACCCTTAATGACCAGTGGTTATCCTGTCTACGCGCTACATGCGTCGCCCATGTCCATTTTCTCTTATTGATTTCAACTATGATATCCTTAACCCCCGTTTGTTCCCTTATCCACTCTGCTCTCTTCTTGTCTCTAAAGGTTACACCGACATATATATATACGGATATGGCCGGGCGCGTCACTTATCTTTATGTATCGCTTAGCGACTCCTCATGACTGGACATATTGCACAAATAAACGCCAAAGCAAGTACTCATTCTGGGTCGATCGCTTGAAGTTTCGTTTTCACCAAAGGACAGAAACTTAATGCGCAGTTTTCCTATTTTCCGCTCACGTTTTCTAAAGGCGAATGCGACGCCACTACAAACAAGAAATACATAGACAGAAACAGGGCGGCATTTCACACAAGGAGAGCCGAGTGGAACAGGTGACGTTGGTTTAGGCTAAACGTCACGCGTCCTACCCTATGAGAAAAAAAAAACGGATGGGGCTGTGGCGTCCAGGCCCTCGGATCAGTGACACGGGAAACAAGCAGAGCGGCTGAATAGGAAAGGACGCACTTAGCGTATACCTCTTCCTTGCTGATTGATGAGGCCTGTTTGTTCGCGTAGTCATCAGCATTACCAAACAGTCGACGCTGAAGACGGTGTTTTTATTGTTCACACGGTGAGCAAAGGCCACGTAAGGTGAATTTTAATGTGATGTAAATAAGCACTTGCGAATAAAATCTATCCTAGTTTCGTGCAATATTCGGTGTTGCAGCTGACGGAAACAAAAAAATAATTTCTCAACATTTTCTAAATACACAAAATAACATCTAGAACTGCCCACCTAGCGAAAATGTCTCAGTTCTTCTATTGTTTAAGGCAGCTATCTGCCACAATGGTGAAGGTTCTCGACATCTAACCCTCAGATCACAGGATCTAATACCGACCGCGGCGGCTGCATCTTCGATAGAAGTGAAAATGCTCGAGGCCCTTGTATTTAGATTTAGCTGCATGTTGAACGACCCCAGGTGGTCGAAATTTCTGGAGCACTCCACTACAGCGTCTTTCATAATCATATCATGGTTTTGGGACATTAAACTGCAACAATTATTCTTGTTATAGTTGCCAGTTGTTGCACTTTACTCTCAGTGCGGTTTTAAATATTCCAATGAATTCAGTATGACGTGAAAAAAAAAATAAGACACGAGAATAAATCATTTACAGGCTCGTATCCACGAAACCAACATAAAGAGACTAGATGAAGCAAGGCTAGAGATAAACTGTCGAGGTTTCGTTTCACGTGGCCTCGTCAGTGCTTACTGTCGAGTCATGCAGACGCTTAGACATACTTAGACAAAGTGAACACAGTCCTTATTCTCCTATACAATGCGTTATACACGCGTGCAAAGAACGAGGTACGCATACACTGGTCTACTGCACCCATTTAACCTCAACGGGATCTCTGTTATTGAACTGTCATTCCATATAGCAATCAGCCAGTAAAAATACTCAGCTCCTTGCGACGCCTCAGCAGAGTCGATATACTGCCACTGTACGCTCTCTGGAGTCATAGACGAGACAAATACTTATTTTATGCCTGTTGCAACGACTTACGCTTGGGTTCACGTGGTAGACGAGGCGCGGTGACCAGGGCCATGATATGTGCTTGTTCATCATGACCTTGAAGGCAGACTGGATGGAGGACGTCACCGAGCCGGGCTTGCCTCCCTGCTGCTTGTTGTCCGGCGTATCCATCGCAACGGCACGGAACACGCACGCGTGTGTATCTACGACGGGCACTCGCGAAGTGACGGCCGCTCACTGGCCCCGTCTGTATCACGCACGCGCAAAGAACAAATAAAGACACGAACACCACACAAACAGAAAGTGAGGCACAACCACACACGCGAGCTTTGACCCGAAGTCGTAAATTCGAGACAACTTCACTACCACTGAACTGACGAATGCTGAGAGCCAAATATGCGAGCCGAAGGGTACGCGTCGCAGCCGCTGGGTTCACTTGTGAGGCGCCGGCGTTGTACGCTGGTCGGTGAGCACTCGCAACGAAGCCGATATCACTGGATGTACGACTCGGACTGGCCCCGTTAGACTGGAGCTTCGATAGGCGTCACGGCACTGGAAGAAGCGCAAACCGCGCTAGAATCGGCAGGCAACAGCCGGAGCCATGACAGCGTCGGCGAAGTTGGAACAGTCGCAGCGTGGAACAGGTGTCTCACGCGCCCGAGGAGGGACAATCGGGCGCAAGCATTTCGCATTTCCAAACGAGCGTGATCGATGTGGCACGCATGCACGCCGTGGCCGGCTGCTCCGGTGCGAAGAACAGAAAAGATGTCGGCCCTCGTTCGGCGCGCTGCTCACGGCTGCCCGATCAGGCAGATGCAGGCAAGTCGTGTCATATGCGTCGCTCCTCCCTCCCTGCTGCGGCAAACCGCGTGGCGCGCAAAGACTGCACGATGCAAGCTGAGAGCGCGCGTGCTTCACAAGTCAATGCCGCACACTAGGAATCGGGACTAAGCGGCGAGCGCTGGCTTCACAATGTGCGTCCACGTTTCCTGGCGGCCTCGGTGACAGAGTCCACTGCTGCTGTCCGGCCCTCTCGACGCGTGGCTGTCCGCAGATCCTGTCAGGAAGAGGGAACCCTTCTCGCCTCGCACGACGACAACAGGGTCGACGGTGCGTACAGAGTATCCGGCCGCCCGCACAGCCGCTGCCAGCCCGCCGTTCTCGCCCGCTCGTCAGCGATCTGAACGACCGTGGGGAGGAATAATAATAACGGTGCGTCCGAGAGGCGCTTGATAGTGCTCCCTCGGCGCTATATGCTCGCCCCGTCGTCGCATATACGGGTCGCGTACGGAGGCGCGCGCCGCTTATCAGCTGGTTGTGCCAGAGCTCGGTGGGTATCTTCCTTTATCGGCCTTTGCGCGCCGCATGCGCGAATGCTGGAGTCGGCGATGTTAGGGGGGGGGGGGGGGGGGGTGCCGTACACAATCGGGTCTGCAATCTCTGGTTTCTACGTTGTCGGGTGCCTCGTAGTACGCGAAGAAATGCAGCGGCGGGATAGCCTACTCCTAGGTTCCGCGACAGATCGGTCGATGGATTGGGACGCCGACGTTTGAAGCCTTACAGCCGGGAATGACGAGCGTTGCGACGAAATTGATCAGAAGCACAATCCGAAACGACGTTGCTAACCTTTCTGCATACTTTGCCGGCATTGGCCGAAAGTAGTTTCATCAGAAGAGAGCTAGACTCGGGGAACAACGTCACTTCGCTTCAATGTAATCTGCATCTGAAAGAAACTGCATTGAATGTGGGAATTCCTTTGATGTTCTTGTTGCGTGCAAAACGACTGCCGTGACCACTCGCAGCGATAGAGTGCGGAGTCTTCTCACGGGAAAGTTGAACGCGCTGGCTGTTTCCGAGTGTCCTCACTGAACCCGCTTTCTGCGGTGGTTCGTGGCGATAGATCTTGTGTATCGACTGGGCATTATCGTCAGAGTTAGCATGGAGTGAATTTCCCACAACTTGTCTTCAAGTACCGTCCATGTGTTTCTCCTCAGTGCATTCTATTCGGAGGAGCAACCGTCTAAAAACATCCCTGACTGCAAAAACACAGCGTTACAGATACGGACGTTTTTATTGCAGATCACTCGTCGTAGCGAACCGAAGCAGCCGCAAAGCAAACGGAAATTTGCTGATGAGCGCAACACGTGAGTAGCATACCGATGAGATGCGACGGGTGAAGGCGGCTGTTGTGGGTATTTTCGCACACGTCTTTGAGCCGTCGCGCTCATTTATTTTTCCTTCCCATTTACACAGGTTGGCTCAAAGTGAAAATAACGACACGTTCTGGATCACAGGCAGTAATGCTTGACGAACTGGATGAAACAAATTAGAGCTTATCACGGCGAAACACGTAGTGATGAATCGGGTATGCACAAAGTGCAATCGTAACATTACAACACACCTGACCACCGAGTCACGTGGCAGGCAAAACTTCGAGCTCAAGCATTTCGTAGGCATTCGTGCCACTTCCGTTTTCATGCACGTACAGCTTCTCTCGCACGAAGACAAGGTCAGAAGCAGGAGATCACAGGAGCCGGATTTGGGCGTGGGACTTGAACAGCGGATGTATTCCACCCAGAGCGCGAGCGCAAACACAGCGCCGAGAGAAAGAGGGGTAGGCGAATATGGCGAAGGAGAGCCGCTTAGTTGGAGCGAGCCCACGGCTGAACAAACTGCGGCGTGGCGTCGAAACACCTGCTGCGCTCTGCTTCGGCCTTTCGCAACACACAGTTTTTTTTTCTTTTAACTTTGGTATTTTGCCGTTTCCGGAATTTTTTTTTTGTGTCGTATTATTCGTCTTGTCACATTCTCGCACGAACTACTCGCTTAGCATGTACGGAAAAGAAGAATTAAAAAAAAAGGAGGCCAATATTGTTGGCAGTATACGATGTCGCGTGAGGACAAAGAGACCGTAAATTTGAGCCATTTCCAGGACAGCGCCCTTAACTGAAGCGAGGTGCGCAGAAACGAAATAAAAATCTTTATTTACGCGTGCACTTTCGAAGTCCTCTGTGGCCTTTCTCTTTTTGCGTGCAGCTGCCTGCTAGCATGGCGGACAAAAGAAAAATGAAAATGAAAGCGGCATGGAGAAATGTCATTGAGAGTAGGAATAGAGCGTCGGCTTCCTGAAACTTCGAGTCCGATACGAAACAGTGCGCGAATCTTAAATTCACTAACTTTGAACAGCCGATTTGACCATTGCATAAACCGTATTGTTCGTCTCAGTGAAGCCGTGGCGAGTGCAAAAGCCCGCAATGCTTCGATCTAGTTGAGGTGCATAGTTACATGACATTTTTTTATTTCTTTTCTTTTTAGCCACGTTGTAAGCGCTGCTCGTAGCGTCAAGTTGATTTAAGTACTACGTTGCACACGGACCGCTTTTAGGCCCAAGGCGTGTACTTTCCGCAAAGCCAAGTTGGGTATAAATGTTCTCGCGTCTTTAACTAGGAATAACACTCGTATGAGCAAACTTCTCGGCAACAGTGTAATACGAGTAGGCGCATATCGGGTAGTCTACATATAGGAGCATAGCTTATGCCATCTCCGGTGAAGCTAAGTATGCGAAAATTGCCAGGGTCGTTAAGCATTAAAGACTCCATGCGGACTGAAGCGTTTGAGACACTATGTAGCTCGAAGTGACGGTCACACGCGCCGGCAACGAGAACTGCAAAGTAATGCTAGGCGCATGAAACAGCGCCGCATGCTTACGATAACGTTGGTGATGTACAACTGTGTATTGAATGTGGTGCAGTATATAAAGGCAGTGCCAGGACGCTATTCACGTGCGTGTGCATATCGAAGAGGTCGGCAACCTGGGCGAAGAGTCATGCAGTGCTTCTCTCTGTTAGCACGTTTTTCTTCCTCGACTCTATATTGTGTAATTTCATGCGGTGAAGTATTGAAGGCGTTTTACGTCATTAAAATAAAATTGAGCCAGGTGCGTGTAGCGAACGCTAATAAAACAGTGAAGATGCCTTTGCTTAGCCATTTAATTTAGTTGGTTGAATGAAGTGGGATTTGAGTGATGTGGCACTTAAATGAAGTTGAATAGAATGAAGGAGAATGAATTCGGTGAATAAGGCTGGAGGAGTGGCGGCAGCCGTAGTGGGTGCAGTGGAGAGTTCTTCTGGGAGTCGTGAGCAGCGGCACCTACCAATTCCCACATACGAGGGCCCCCAGACAAGAAAGCCTTGACGGATACCCCTTCATATGCACCCGCCAACTTCATGCTTACACAATATGTCGTACTCAAAACAGCCTTTTGCCTAGATTTCATGAGTGATAAGCTATGATATCATCACGGTTTTAAGGTAAGGAGCAATCACAAAAGAGACCCAATGGACCTCATTATTTTGTTTTTAATTGAATAATTCAATTAGAAGAAGCAGGCAAGTAATCTTAAATAAAAGAAATGGTATTCACTACAACACCACCGCGCCACGCATGCATTTCACTGCGCCCACATGGTCGAAATATGCGGGCCTGTCACTACCGATGTAAGTCTGCCGATCCCAATGGCATGTCACACCGAAAGTATACAGGGAAACCAATGAAATACGAGATAGAGGCAAGGAAGTTAACCGGGACAGAGCATACCGTCTTCATCACTATCCAGATGTTGGTGGTACAACAGGTATGAAGGTGACAAGAAAACAAATCACATGATAGTACAAAGCGTGCGGCACTCAATCTCAGAACCTTCACACTTACATAAAAACAAGTTCACACTAATTAGAGCTTAAGCTTTTTTTTTTGCTGTTTTCTTGTCTACAACTATAAGATATCGACCATCTACAGCTCAGGCCAAACGGCGGACATCTTTACGTTCAGACTGGGATTATTAACTGTGTTTATCAATGCCCAACGAAATATTGAGCATTCACAAAGGACAATCTTGTTCATTTTTTTTTCACTCGCTGTCGAGTTACCGTGCGATAAAGAATAGGGTGACGGCTAAGTCACATGACTATCCATGTCGTTGCATATCTCGGGGTTGCGCTTATGACAAAAGATGCTACATTATTGCCAAGCGGTTTCCTTGATTTCAGTTTTGCTGCATTCGGTCTACATCCACAACTACGGTCAGCAGTGTTTGGCGCAGACCGTGCTTCAATGTATCAGAAGCTTAGCGATTATAGTAGCTCGTTTTGTTAATCCTGCGTGCGGGTCGCGAACAGTCGAGCCTATTTCGAGAGCTTGCATGACCACGAGTGATAATGTTATAGAAAAATCAATGCCTGACGTATCCAAGACGGTACACGCCAATGACGGTTAGTTTTGTCGACGGCCGACTCTGTGTTCGCCTCATAAATTGACAGCACCTATCGCTTGTATATGGACACGCGTTTAGTTTACCGCGCACAGATTCCCCCAAATAAGAATGATCACTCCTGAAACCACCGACCGCTATTTTCTTGCACGTCGCGACAACGTGATATTCATAATAAAACGCGGAGTGGAACAGTGATTGAAAGTTCGACATCTGGAAAAAGTTTTTTGAAGTACCGCTTGAGGTACGGTTTCGTCAGCAATCGAAAACACGAAATGAAAGTTTTGGTAGCTTTTCACGGCAGTTATAGCTTGAATGATGAGCGTGCATACGATTAGCCGGTGTGTAAAGGTAGCGTGAGTTTAATATGTTGTCTTGCTGTCAAATCGGGCTACGTTATTCAATGCCATTGCAATTCTTACATCTCTAACTATATTGAGGATTGGTTTCGATGTCGCCATATTTTAGGCTGCCAGCCTTGCCATTTTGTATCTTTCACAGTTAAACAAAAAGTACAGTGGATATGATGCATGTGAAAGCGATAGGGTTGGTGCATTTGAAGTTTCCTAACCTGATAAATTCGCCGT